AAAAAAAAAAAAAACAAAAAAAAAAAACAAGAGAACACTCAATATGTTTTCAAGGGTGGCTTTCTAATTATTGTGTGTAAAACAACACAGAAATCTAATAATGTACTTGTAATAAACACCATTTGACCAAAAATATATTTATCACATTCTGAGTGACTCAATATCGTGTGCAGAAGTTTCACTGCACAAATGTAAACATGTCCACTGTGGCACTACAGTAGGCTAGATATAAATGATAGATCAAATGAAAGGCGTGAACAGCGTACGCAACAATTGTACCTCTAAAAGAATCTAATTGTAAGAAAAAAGTAGAAAATGTAAAAACTTACCTGGCTTTACAAGAACAAAATGAATCGGACAACATTTTATCGCCGATTTCGATTTGGAGTTTGTGCGGTTCTTCAGTTTTCCTCATCGAGCGCCAACATTGTGCGTCACCATAAATTGTTCCGTTTCCCTCAGAAATCTTCACATTGTGAATATAACCTTGCGTAAAATAGTTCAGTCCTTTTTGAAGAGCCTTTTTTTGACACAGATTCACTATTCGGAAGGAAATTAACTGCGATATTTTCTGGTATGTTCTCTAAGGAATCTGACACCATGTTTGTCTGCTCGGTGGCCATTTTGACTATTGCTTGTTACACCTAGCAACAGTATCTAAGGGGGCAGAGCTTATCCGCTCATCTCGGAACGGTGAATTAGGCAGTTTAATTATGGTACCATAAAAATTAAAACTAATTTGGTTGCAAATCTCTTTTGAACAGGATCTTTTATCATGTGCAATTAAGAAAAATGTAAAATGCTGAGGCAGAATGCCAATATCTTGTTTAAAAAATAGCCCACAAAGAGTCATATGATATAGGCACCATGCCTAGTTATAGCCAATAATCATTCCAAGTCAAAGTCTTTAATTTACAACTAATACAGCAAATATTTATGAAATGAAAGTTTGCATGGCATAGGCATGCAGATTAGTTCTTAATGCTGTAAAAACATTTCATGCCGTAGAATCAGCAAATATGAAAAGAAAACCAGAAGTCCCATGTCATTTCTACATTTTCTGTTCAGAAAAGAAGTGCATCTGGTTAGAGGATATTCACCTGGACAGCCTCATTCCTTAATAAAGTTGCTCTAAACTGACATCCACACATTGGTATGAGATATTTCAATATTTAGCTGAATTTTTAACAATTGCATGAAAACCCCTCCTTTCCTTTTTCACAAGCCATTGATCAAAACATTTCTCAAAGTCAAACTTGTCCAATCCTGGCGACTCCAGGTATAATGCCATCAAGTGATCCATGTGCTCCACAGATATCATGTTTCTGGAGTCTGTCTTGATGGCATTATACCCGGATATGCCCCTCTCGCAATTCACAGACGTAACTGGCAAAATCAAGCCAATAGCAGCTAACTTACTCAAATTTAGGTAGGTGTTACAGTTCGGGTGTAAAAACACTTAAAAAAATCTTCTGCTGTCCAATTTCTTGTAACTTGGTGACTGCATAACTCTGTAGAGGAGAGGCCATTCCATCCTCACTGCCTCCTTGTCCACCAATGACTGGTATTTGTCTGCCAATTCTGTAATGTGTGTAGTGGCCTCCTCTTTGGATATCAGTCCACACTCAGCAGGCAAAAAATCCTTAAAGCATGACATTATATCATGATTAGGGAAACAAGATGTCAATCTGGTTACTACTTCATCAATATAAGCAGTTGCTGCTTCCTGAAATTTCTCCCGATGCCCTACACAGTCCTTCAGTTCATGCCCTGCATAGGATGTATACCCAGATCCATCTGGGATGTTGGACAAAGCCTGCAGTGCTTCAGACAAATAAGGTCCTGGTGTTGTCAGCATGCTCTGAATCCCCAATATGGTTGCATCAATTTGACTTTTGATTGCTGAGTAAGTAGCATCTTGCTTCTGCATGATTTTGGACAAAATGCCCAACATCCCAACTACATCAGCCAGAAAGTGTGTCATCAATACAAATCTAACCGTCCCCATTTGGTCCACTACCCCATGCAGGACAGCCCTGCCTTGGAGATTCCTTTCTAGGGCAAGGGTCTGTAGAGCTGAAATTACTGGGCCGATGCACCCTGCTAAAGATGATACACTATCAGCAAAAGAGAGCCATCTTGTAAAAAATACTTGGTGAATTTTGCTCGCTTTCACATTGCTTATCTCTTTGCATTGTTCCAGTACACCTGGAATTTTGGCGAAAACTTCAGAGCTTTTGCAAACTCATTCAAGACTGCGATAAATTTTCCTATGTATGGAACACTGTTGGCCGCTTTCTCACTTAATAACTGTAGTCAGTGTGCCATGCAATGAACTGACACAAGGTGCCCAACAACGTGTTTAAAGCTGTAAAGAAAAAACAAAAAGAATATTATTATTATTATTATAACTATTTAATAAAGGAAATAATGCAAACACAAAAGTAAATCAAAATTTCATCTGATACAAAATCCTAAAGCAACATTCAAACACTGTGCTTTCCTAAAACCTTTACTACAAGTATGGTAAAACTATCTCATGAATCCAGCAGCCTGCATCTTGGATTTACAAATAAATCATTCAGTAAATAATGCTAATGATATAATAAGAAAACAACAAAACAAGAAAAGACTACCCAAAATATATTTGTTTGACCATGAAACTGTATTGTAAATAAATGATAAAATTTCTTGTTTTAACATTAATAATAATATATTACCGTGTTGCGACACCATTGTGAACCCCAGACATAACACTTGCCCCATCTGTGGCTAATCCATACAATTCTTCCAATGGCAGGTCATTCTCCTGTAAAATCTGCATGGTGGCATTGAAAATAGATTCAGAGTCCTGACATTTCAGTTCTTTCACTCCAATAAATGATGTTTTCATGGAGTCAGTTTTGTCCAAGAAACGCATGAAAGCAATCACTATTGATTTGTTAGCGCAATCAGTAGCTTCATCAATTTCAATGCCATAGTATGGATATGGACTGCTTGCCCGATCTCTCAAGATGTCACCCTTCACCATGCTGGCCATTACTTCATAAATGTCACTTATGGACCTATGGTGTTGGTAATGAGCATCAGACACACAGTCTGTTTGTATGTGTTTCAGGTCTAAGACACCCTGCAAAAACAAAAGTTGAAAAACACATGTACAGGAATCTGTCATCTCAACTGTAAAAAAAAAAAAAAAAACTAGATTTAATTTACTCTCTGCCAGTGACCCTTGAGTGATGACGTGGTCTGTGTGCAAAATTTACTCAGAGAGACCCCTGTGATTTTTGGCACAATTAAAATGCTCGCGGGACATTATTTTGTCTTTGCACAGTGGGAGCCACCTAGCCAGACCAAGAAAAAAAAATTAACAAAATAATTGTTTTACTCAAATTAATTAAGCAACTACTGTATCACATACACCTTTGCACAAGTAAACTTACATTTTGGATTTGAAGTTTGATTAGTTTTGAATTTTTCACTGAAGGAATGGCTTCCTTTGCTTGTGTCAGGACAGTTCGCATCTGGGCTATAATGGCATTTTTCACCGTGTTATGAGCATGATGGCAAGCCTTTTGCAAACTTTTTCTCATTGTTGGTAGAGATGAGGCTGTCCGATGATCTACAGAATGCATGTGCTTTACCAGGTCATCCTTCTTTGTTGTAGCCAGTTTCTTTTTGCCTGATGTAAATACATTATCTTTTTTGGCATTAATACAGGTGACACACATAACAGCACTATGACCACAGTCAGTTCTTATTTTCAACCATTTGAACTGGGCCATCCACCCCTCTAGTCAACCACCAGGGCCCGGTTTTATATAGGACGTTTACCACTAACCAGTGTATAAGCCTAACCAGTAGTTAAATTCTCTAAACACTGCTAACTAAACGGCGGTTAAAATTGTGTTTTATAAACAGAGTTTAAACAGCCGGTTAGTTAACGGACGTTTAATTTTCTTAACAAGTGTTTAGTTGCTATAAACAACTTATCCAGACCATATTTGGAAATAAAATTCCCCAGAATGCAATAGGTTTCTATAAACAAAATAAATATATATGATAATTAATTGCCCATTTGTGTTGTCTGCTTTGATCTACTTTGGAAATATGTCAATGTCCGAGAAAAAGAGGAGCAGAAAACAAAACTGGTCTGTCAGTGAACAGACTTTACTGGTGGAGCTGGTAGAGGCAGACCACAGCACCATCAAGAACAAGCACACATTAAGCTTGGACAACAAGTCCAAGCTTGATGTGTGGCTCAAGATTAGCAGGAAAATCACTGCTGTTGGTACAGCTAGCAGAATACATGAAGAATGTAAAGAAAAATGGAGGCAGCTGGTTACTGCGGCCAAGAAAGCTCACTGTGGGCTACGCAGCCATAGTGCCAAGACTGGGGGTGGAGCTCCTGCTCCACCGCTGGATGCCACAACAGAAAAGATCATACAGCTGCACAAGGACGACCCCGCCTTTGTGGTGTGTCCGATGGGTTTGAGACAACAGGTACTTCATGATTAAATTATTTTACAATTATTGATTTAATAAATAGATTAGTGATTTTATAAATGCTATGCTGACGATAATGCATTATGTCGTCTGCTTCAGAGACGTGCATTTCAAATGACCTTGACCTTACACTCGTCGAGACATTTTCTATTGGTTGAACTCAAGAAAAAGCAATTAATGTGATTGTTACCTTTTATTATGATAAAAACCTGCGTTGAACATTTAGACATGTATTTCCATCCAGTGCATTGTTCTTGGCCTCTTTTACTCTTAGGCCACACTTTTTTAATTTTATGGATGACNGCCCGCTCTCACCGATTTTGGGGTCCCCAGAGGATGTCATCCATAAAAATAAAAAAGTGTGGCCTTAGATAAAACCTCCGATGCACTACTGTCGTAATGTCCCATTCCCACGCTGTCGAACATGTTTCAGAAAAAGTACAAAAAACAATATTTCCTCGACTGTGAAAAGATCTAACAGAGACCGTAACCATACATCCAAGCATACTGATAAGTGCATACTTCTTGTTCCGTGTACTGTTAGATAAAACCTCCGTTACAGTAATTCCATCATTTCCCAAATTCCTGAATGGTCCCGCGCCGTATCATCGTGCACGTTCCAGCAAAACTTTAAAAAAATATATTTCTTCCACTGAATAGATCTAATGGGCATTGTTGTCCTCAAACTAAACATGTTGATAAGTGATTATAATCCCAATATCCTACCCAATCCTGGCAAATGAGTTAAAAAATACAGCGTAAGCTCCTCCATGAATCAAACGGTAAAACCGAACTGCGTTTGAGCGCACTTGTTTTGACCAGTTCAAAAGTGAGTGACAGCTCAGAACTGGGTCACGAGATCATTGCGTGCCAGGCAAGAGTACTTGAGCAAAATTACAATGGACTTGTGTCTCTTTTGAAACTTAGATACCCACTCTCCCACATACACTAAAATGAGGAAAATTTGCTAATGCCATTTCCATGTCATTTTTACTATCACAAATGATATCATATTGTATCAATTCTCTAAAATCAAAACAAATATTTTATTTCAATAAAATAATTAAAATAATTGAAAATGCAAATTGTTTTAATTGAATTGATGTGAATTTTTTTGTTCTTTGAAGTGGCTGAAATCCCCAATTTACAAGGAAGTACAGATGATATAGTTACAGACTCAGTGGATTTAGAATCACTGCTAGATGATTTAGATTGCCAAAGTATGTTTAGAAATCTATGTACTTATTTAAAAAAATCAATAAATAAATAAAAATAATAATAATAAATGAATAAGTAATTATAATGATAATAATATCATAAAAATATTCAAAAGGAAACTAGTTTCTTTGATGTTTTTACCAGATTATGGATAGTTATTAAAAAAAAGAAAAAAAAGTAAAATATACTAGTAGTTTTATACATGCAATGTATGTATTTTTTTATTACAGGTAAATATTATATAATTTTACAACTATTTACAGATTCTCCACCATTCCCATTCCCGCCCCCGTCCCCACTACTAGCAAGTCAAGTCAAGAGAACCCCAAATTCCAAAGAAAAGAAAGAAGCACACATGTAGCATGTCAAGAACAGGTAAGACATATTGAAGAGCCAGTGCAGACTTCAGTTATACACAATA